ATGTTGCTGAATATCCACCTCTCGGGGTGTATAAAGCCATTCCTTGACTTGACTTGACTAGTAGTGCGTTTTTCGTGTCCATCATAATCACCTAGTTGGGTCACCGGAGATCGTCGCCATTGACAATCGATCGTTTTATACCATGAAATTGTCACTGCCAAACTCTGTTGATGTTGAATGTTATTCGAGCTGGTTGTGTTGTTCGTAGACGTTCCGCAGCCAGACTAGGTAACATTATCAGTGCAACTGCTAATCGACACACATCAACATCCGCATCCGGCCGAAAGTCCTGGTTACTTCAACATTCTACTCACAGTTATATGTCCAATATCAGAGACCTCCGTCCTGGTCTCTGGGTTAAAGTCACTCGTCTGGCACTCCCGGCTTTTGGGCGGTGGTGGCCCGATGGTAATGTCACTGAATTATCACTGCCCGGTATGTGTTCGAATCCCACCACCACCTGACTTTCCTCATTGTGTGTTGAATGGCAGCCCTTTGATTGGCTGCTTCCCTCTCCTAAAAATTGTATCTTTCTATATCCCATGAAAGGAAAAAAGACAATTCCTGAGCTACAGTAATTCCACATCATTTCCAAGTACCAAACTCTCTTTCGTTACTTACTGGGACTTTCATAATCACCGCATTGTATGTCAGAAATCTTGATCGGAGATAAGAGTCATGGTCATATAACTGAATTAGTAAATTAATTTGAATAAAGATAAATATTAAAAGGTGAACTCGTCGTGTATATAGCAAACGGAGCGTGAACCGAAAAGCTAGGAAACACTGGCTATCTGTTTCGACCTGGTTGGGTCTCATCAGCAGTGCGAATCCATCGACCCAACTGGGAATCGAACCCGGCACCTCACAAGCGTAATACCCACTCGATCACCGGGCAGCTGATCAGACCGTTTTCATTTTCCATTTACACGATATAACACAACCCATCTTTGCCAGCTAGTTGCGGGCCACAGACCTCGCTCATCTCAGCACTGGCCTCCGGTTCATGACTCGGTTGGAAACAGCTATCCAGGGCTTCCTAGCTTTCCAGTTCACGCCTCATTTGCTATATACACGACGAATTCACCTTTGAATTTGAACCAAATCCTCCATTACTCACTTGAGATAAAGGTTAGTCGGGTTGCAGTTTTTACGTCCATTAATTTTTCTGTTGCGGTACGGTTGCTGTCTGTCTCCTACCCATTTGGTCGATCAATGGGCAAGGATTTGATAGAAGAGTTGAAAGCTGGGAGCCCTATCGAAATAATGAACCAGAAAGCAAATGGGTCGGATATGCGCAGAATCGTTTTTAGGCCATAAACGTGGGGGCAAACAAATTAAACTATCTATTCGGCTCAGTCGAATACTATCGATGAGCAATTCTATAACTTGGTGCGATGGGCAGCAGTGGTGAGCTGCTTGGTGGCGAGGAGCTACAGTTCGGCTCCGAAAACCGGTAACTACAGTCTTTTCCTTGGAGTGGATTTTATGTTCCAGAGTCCCAATAGTATAGGTGTGATTTTCAGCCGGGAGTGACGAAAGCTACTCTTCAAACCGCTGTCAACTTGATCAGTTCCATCAGGGGTGTTACAGTTTTGGGGAGGAATCAAATGGGTTTCACCAACTCAGCATTTTGCCTTTCGTAGTCATGATTTTTCTTGCGTCGGGTACACATTGCTGACCATCACTAAATTATTGAAGAACCATGATGCATGGACCGATCCGAATGCTACCACGGAGCTTCCGTACGCATTTCTGCCAAGACCATTTTGTTTGCAATCTTGTGAAAGTGATGATTAACTGCCGTCTGGAAAGTATAAATTTTGTGTTAACGATGGTTGCACAGTTTCTGTTTGGGAAGACCATTTTCGGACGAAAGTTTCAATTAATGCTAGGGTTCAGCGCTAACAGGTCATCTGCTTGGTAAATAAACCAAATGAAAGCAGGATTCAATTTAAGTCAGTTGATTTATTACAACCCGAATGATTCATACAAATTCAGTGTCGTTCATCATTAGGAGGTATCGATGATGACGGACTGGTATTCGCCCCTCACCACACCCAATCATCATCTGTGCACTTGCGATACAAAAGGTTACTGATCCAGCAAGCCATTTACACCCTTTGTCTATGCTCATGTGTGCCACTCACTTCCAGGGTTATAAAGCGATCATTACAACCGAAAAATTGTGACGGTGGATCAGTGAAGGATTTCATATGGATAGAGGCTAGGTCTCATCGTATCCAAAGAAAAATAGACGTGAATTGAGCAGCAAGGAAGCACTTTATTTTGTTAGGTCTTATCAGCTTGCTTCTCCAGTAAAAAGTGTGCTTGCTTTCTATTTCTGAGGTCTGACATCAGATCCGCCCATCGAGGAAGTTAACAACGAGATTCGAATAGTCATACAATGCTTGCCAGGCTTTCACTTCGCATTCCTGTTACCCGTTGCACATCCAAGTCTAGCCTGTACCCAAATAGTGTTTGAATTGCATTGATGTTGTATTCTACATAACCTCAGTCTACCAGAAAAAACGGTGATGCGTTTCTGGGCAACGGACGCAATTTTGCGATTTTTCATATGTTCTTCACTTCACAGACTGGATCGTACGGAGACCGATCACGCAGGAATTAATACGCGAATTACCGGAAGTAAATCCGACAGCCATAGTTGTTTCTAGTCGTATCTCCGGTTTACAGCTGGAATCGTTTCCATGTTTCCTACTCGGATATGTGAATTCCATGTAAGATTCTAAGGCAAAATTTCACAGTAGTTGTCCCTATTGAATTGCATACCTTAGTCTAACGATTTAAGTACGCACAGATCACGGATTACGAATCACGTATTGGAAATCACGGACACCACAGAAACACTGAATCACACTGGCACTTGTAAGACGTAATCGAGACAAGGAAAAGGCCACAGTGGTAGCAATTCGTTTATTGGAGGAAATCAAGGGGTTAAATAACATGTACAAAAGAAGTTCATTGGTTATCCAGGCGCCTACCAATCGGGTGCTCATATTCTTCGTGTCGTACAACTTCCGTCTGGGCCACACGACTTCTGATCGGTCGGAAGAATGAGCCTATGGTTCGTTGTCCGGAAGCTGTAACGTGTAGGCACTTTGCCGGTGTCATCTGGGATGCTTGACTCATCACAGTTGTCCGGAAACTGTAACGGGGTTTGAATCATCCCGTAAGCTAGGTTCACCACACTATGACTTGTCTACTGGGCAAGTTTTGTCGTATTCGGAACGTGGGAAACGTAAACTGGAACTCCAGAAAGCATTGTGAAGTAATTTTAATTCAGCAAGTTGAGGCAGCTTCGTTGTCAATCGGCTTAACCCTAAGCCTAACTTGGCCGAGTCTTCTATGGTTCACCATTGTTGTCTTCTGGCTCAGGTTTCCAGTTTGCATGAGTGAACAGTAGGTCCTCGTGTTCTTTAAGATGACACTTTTTACCCGTTTTTTTCCCCAGTGTACATCAAACCATTTCGCATTCCTTCTACATTCATTTGCTGCAAATATGCTGACGAAATTGTTATAGGAATCAAAACATTAACCTCTGAAGAGACTTCAGAATCCCAAAGCAAGCCAAACGATGTGGTGAATTGGTCCCGTTCGGTTCTCTCTCATTGAATGACTCAAAATGTCAGTATGTTGTGTTTTCCCTGTTGGTTGATGAATTATATACAAATCTCGTAAATTGGTTTCCTTCTCTTTCCGCCAGTCATGAACCGAAGTCGATATCAAAAGTGGTAAAATATCTTGGCGTCTAACTATCCTACAGTTTATCATGGTCACTGCACGTTAAGGACGCATTCTTCAGATTTAGAAAGCTGTGACATTTATGACTCCAGTCAAAAATGCTTTCTGTTTCCTGAAGTAGTCGGAAAAGGACTGGTTCATGGTTAGCGAATCACTGTCGGAAACGAAGCACGGAATCGCACTAGTAATCGTAGACAGAAATCTCCCGTCACCTAGGTGCAGGAATGTCACAGAACTAGCATTTGATAGAAATATTATTGGTCAAACGGGAATAAACCAAAGGCCGTCATTTTTTTCGATTCACGGCTGCTGTTTGAACTGTATGGTCATTGATTGATCGATACTGTTCACTGTGGTTCGATGTCCACAAACTGTAACGCTCAGCCGCTTGGCTGGCATCATATTGGCGGGTTAATTCGTCATATCCTCACAAGCTGTGTTAGATTTGTGAACGCTTGCATGCTT